ATTTCAGTGTGAAAATGATCGATGTCATTGGCTCATATTGTGATTGGAGATAGCATTGAAAAATAGATAGCAATAGACAACTATTTCATCCTTCCTCATATAGGAGGGATGTAACTCAAGAACGTCAAATTTTCAAATAATGTTAATCAATCACAAGAAGCATTGTCGAATTCTTTATATTGTTTTCGCAACAACAACAACAACAACAAGAAACATACACCATAAACACTATGTACACATTTCATGGCATACAAACGTTTGTTCTATATTATTGGTTAGTAAATTTTCTACCGTATTCTAATTACCAATGAATAAACCTTTTAAACCAAGAAAAAATAAATAAAAAACATGAGACAATCAATAATTGCGATCGACCCTCTCTACTTTCGTGTGTTTTCATCAATATGTCCAGAAATTAAGGCAATGACTTGATCATTAAAACAAATATTGAACACAAGGAGAGACGAATATGTGATAAGAAAAGAAGAGATACGATAGAGATAACAAAAACAAACATAATAAAACAAAAAAAGAACAAATAACTATTATAATTGCTGTCAATTGATGCAACAAAAAACAGACGAACAAACGCATTCAAACAAATACACACAATCTCTATGTCAGTCTAGTGATGATGGGAGGAAGCAGGAAAGAGGCAACCAGAGGGTAGGGTAGGATGAGGCATAACTAAGAGATTGTAAGTAGAAAGAGAGAAAGAATATCTTCGTGAGGTCTTTCTCAAGGATTTTCAGATTCGGACTTCAGCTTTAGTTCACATTTCGCAGGATTTCTAACCAACTTGAAAACAAAAGCTACTGTGGGATTTTTTGATATTTTGATTTATTAAAGGCCATTAAGAGTAGTTTTGAGCCACAGACTTCGCTTTGTTGATGCCTCGGTGACCGATATGAAGTTACTTGAGAAGTTATCGACCAAGCGATTACAAGATAATAATTAAATCTCCGAACATAACACAAAAATCGAATACAACAGAAAAGTCTTGACAACAAAAACTCTGGAAATTTTCGTCGAAAGCGGCACTTAGGCTATTAGGTGAAAAGATAACCCGTAAGGTTTGGTTCTTTTCTGTGGCTTCAATAATGGTTGTAAAGGCAACTGACAGTTCACAAACTGCATCATCCGATAGTCGATGAACATCTGTCTCAGTCTTTATTGGTGCCATCAGAATATTTTCTTCTGGTCTGGATGGGATAAGACAGACGTCCTCATGTCTTGAATTCGTGTATCAAGTATGGTTGCTAATTGTTGTAATCGATTAGCGGTGTGCACAGGGACTCATTTCTTTGGCCTAAGCACTACCAGCAATGAATTATGGTCAGTGAAAAGAAGGAATCGACACCTAAATATCATATTGTGTGAACTACCATTGTGCTTATTCCCATATTGAACATCATAAAGAACAAAACTAGGGAACGTTTTTATCAATTAAAAGAATATTCTAGACGATTCAAAACTCGCAGCAGATCAGATTTACAGGGGAAGGTTTGAAAACTTCAGCTTACCTATCCAATCAAGGCCCGATGATTCGGATGCTCTATGATATACAGGACTTCCTTCATCGTTGGTTCCTCAACATGGAGTTTGGATGTTTTTTCATCAACAATGCTTAGCTTTTTGCTAGATAGACTGCAGGTGTAACAGTACGTCGGCAAGATTATTTTTCAAAAAGATCTGATGCTTTGGCAATTTACAAATGGATACAATATCTAGTGGTGTTATAATTCTCTATTACAACCCAGAGATTCCTGACGTTTAGTATTCTCGGACACTGATTCACTCGAGATGTCCTCCCAAATCAGAACACGGTTGAACAGGAAATAGATATATTCCAATAACAAGGTTAAGTGGAAGTCAGAATGTCCAAAGGAAACAGACGTTAGTGTATTCATAGTTTTCTTACATGAGAAGATTCTAGAATGTTCCCTTAGTGTCGGCTAGCGCTGATTAGATACGAAAGAGCCAATTAGCGCGCAACAACGCAATCATGCTTTAATCCAATCTATGTTCCATTAACAAGTGGCCATGATATTTCGGAAGTTTCTGGAAACATGCTATATTCAGCAACGAAGTAGTTAATTGTCCTATCACAGTATGGCGCGTAGTCCATTGTTTATCTCGAGATTTTCGGAAGCTTCGAATGAGTGTTGACTAGACGAAGTGTTCCCAGCCCTTTTTCAGTTTCTAAAGACTTTTTCGAAAAATTCTCAAGGGTTTCCAAAAACGTTCAGGGTGATCCTCAAATTCTTGAGCTGGTAGAACCAGTGAATATGTGCAGTTTTCTTGCGTTTTTCAACCCCCTAAACAAATCGCTCAACTGAATCGAATAAAATCCCCTGCGTACAGAATTTCAGCACACTATTTGGGGTTTAGAGAAAATTTGTGATATACCGATGAAGATGAACAACTTGGCTATCGAGTTTTCCCATGAATGATTTGAATAGTGGAAATTTAGGTATTTTAAATTCGATAATGTTCAATGTTTATAGCTCTGAGTAGCCTATTCACTGGACAAGCACATATGTATATATATATATATATATATATATATATATATATATATATACAACGTCCATACCAACATGTTCATCATGTGCCGCAGAATGACAATTCAAATTGAAAATATAAACAAATTATTTAGATTCAAAATATTAGGGTGGCTTACCACTTACGAAAAAGTCGAGAAAAAAGTTGTCGAAATAAAAATTAAGGAGGAGAACGAATGAAAATTGTTTTGTTTTACTGTTTAGTCACAATAAAATTAATCATGAGACAAAACGAAAGAGAAGAATAATAACAACAATAGAAAATAAATTTAAGCTTTGGTTTGTTTGTTTACATAGTCTTAGTTATAATGTTGAATCAATGTTTACAATAAATCATACCATTTATACGTCGAAATATTATTTACATAAATAATCATGTCTAAAAAATGTAGACGTCTATAAAATATGTACAGTATTGTCATATATGTTGATATTCTCTAGTATCTATCGGTTAAAATGTTAGGGAGTTTCTCACTAAACTAGCCTACTCTACTGAATTAAAACTGGCATGAATAGCTGTAAAAGTTTATATGTTTAAATAATATCGGTATTCCGGACCTTCAACGTTCAAAAGTGTAGACTATTTGTAACTCTAAAGGACAACTACCATTGAACTATTCAAATAGCTAATCTATATTAACACAGATCATCAAATAAAGAGAAAGTACAAATCTTATTAGAAATAATTCGAATCAGATATTCGAAAATCATTCAATAATATATATATGTTACAAACTGTTTACTTGAGGAAAAATGAAAACGAACCTAATGCATTTTAACTGCACATAATTATAAAAGCGGCCTAACGATATATACTACTAGCTAACACAAGTAGTTTGAAGATTATTCACAAAAAACAAGTTACACATTTTTAAAACCATGAATCGATCAATGTTAGACCACCATTAGAAACCTGGAAGCACTGGACGGCCGTTTCGTCCTGGTATGGGACTCCTCAGCGGTGGGCATCCACGACTCCTGCACCCCACAGGATTCGAGCCCAGGACCTTCGGTATTGTAGGCGAACGCCTAACCATCGGAACACTGAGCCGGCATCTAACGGTGTTAATGTCTAACTTGATCAATTCACGGAGTTGCGCAACCTCATACACAGTCTTCCGTAGTTACTGTCTACACCTGAACAGGTTGAACTTCACTGGTCACGTCTTCCCACTAGAACTCGGAGAAGATTCCTCACGAAGCTAGTCACTAGTGAGCACAGGTAATTTGCATTACGGGGTTGTGAAGATCGTTAAGTTACACATTTTCGAAACGGTCGTTCAGTGCTTCCAGGTTTCTAATGGTGGTCTAACACTGATCGATTCATGGTTTCAAAAATGTGTAACTTAACAATCTTCACAACCCGGTAACGAAAAACCAAGTTGTTGCTTATTAGCCAGCACCACAGACATAAACGTTTAGAAAATGAAGATCTTACTGTTTGAAACATTAAAGGTATATGTCATTGGGTGATTTCAACTTTTATATTTGCTAATGAATAGAAAAAGAAGGATAATTAGTTACTTTGGTACTCTTATCAAACCACGATGACATAGAACCTCGAACTGAAGAAGTTGGCATCAACACACATTTTACAAAAGTAATTTAGCATTTATCATTGATACAATTTCAATATAAATGATTATAGTTACAGTGAGAAACCAGAAATAAACAGGTTTAAGAGATAAGTCGAAAAATATTCACTAATGATATGAGTTGTGCTGTCTAGATGGTAACAATTATTTGATGCGTTTAATAGAACAACATATGATGATGACTGATGTTTAATTTACTCATGGAACCAATCCTTTGGAACAAAGCATCCTACCAAAATAATTGTCAGCAGGTAGAAATACTGGTCAAGTGATTGGGTTTATGTTAGGAATGAAAAATAGTTATTTTGATAGATAGTAAATATTTCAATAAGACAGTATTATTTGACTAAAAATGAGCAATAAATCATGTAAAGGAAAGTCACAAACCAACTAAATATAGATAATTGGACAGTCATTTAGTCATAGTATGAAGTCATTCGTATGCCCGCCTGGGCAGTGCTATACTAAGGGTTTAAATAGCTGATAAATGTTCATTTGATACTCAATTTATAACAGATGTCACCCATTTTTATGATAGAATAGATAGAATATGACCAACAATGGGATCCAGGATGCTCGTATCACACTACTCGGGACTCGTCAGCTGGATATGCCTGTATTACACAGAGTTAGTGTTTACTTTGGGGATACTTCTGGTTGATGGGTCTCCAGTAGGACGAGACACACGTCCTGGACGCCACTGCTAACTACATTCTACACACTCTGGATATAATGCATAATAATGGCTCTGTAGAAACAATCCCCACTGGACACACATATGCCAATATAGGCTGATCAAATTTCTGTCAAAAAATATGTATATACATACATGCCATGTTTTAGTGAGAGGTGTGGAATCAACGAACTGTTATCGACACCGTTATGCCGTTGAAAAAATAAGAACAACAACTTTGCCTGAAGTCCCTAGAGCGTTACTTCCAATCCTAGATAGAGGAGGGCTAGACATCAGATTAACAACCCAATTGTGTAAAAGAAAACTTCACTAAAGAAAACACTAACAACATCAACAATAATAACAATTGATTGCAAACTTACCACATATTCAAAGACTAATGTTAACGACTTCTCAGTATGAATGATATCATGTAAAGTGACTATATTTGCATGGCGTAGATTACGCAATAGGCTAACTTCACGTATAGCTGTACATGGTGCACCTTCATCATGTTCCAAACGTATTTCTTTTAAAGCAACTAGTGTTTCTGTTAGAAGACTTTTACCTTTGTATACAGTTGCATAGGTACCCTGATAAGAGAATAAACAAAAATCAGAGAGAGACAGAGAGAAGTATTAACAAATAGCAATAATAATAATAATAATAGTAATGAGGAAAAATGATATTATTTACAGTACGAATAAGTAAACAATCCATTCAAACCATTCCATTTCCTGATCAAGTTAATCCTATGTTTGTGTTCTGATAATACTGAAATACCTAAACCTAAAGAGGGAGGCAATAATGGAGAGACATGCTTGAATATCAAGCCAAGATGAGAAATTATGTAACATCACAGAAGGTAAAAACAAAATATAGTGATGGAATATGATTAAATATTGAAATCAGAAAATGTTGAAAACGAAATGTATGTGTCACCATAAGCTGATTACGGATCAAGATGCTAAATACAAATATCCTTTAATCTAATTATAACAAAAAGGTGAAAGTTTGAGGGTTAATGATTACCGGACTGCAGCAATTATCGATTGGATTTTTAGAATTAGTATTTCGTTAAGGGTTGAGTTCGGTACTGGGAAAAGTAGCTTGAGAGACTACGAAGCACTGGACAATGGTATTACATTATGTTGAAGATCCTCTCCAAGACTGTGAACGCACTCATGAAGCTACATAAAGTTGAACCAAAAACCTTTAATCCTTCCGGTGCGAGATGAAATGTAATTGTATGATATTTTCAAATTCAGTCCATTCATGGCATTGAGCGGAAAATCATCCGCTGGTACTGAATTACATCCACCTGATACAAGATAACGGTGTGACGAAGCTTCCTACTGAAAATTTCAGATGTCTACATCACAAATCACATTACCTCGTGTGGACATGACGATTGGTAATAAACATAATTTTATTTTTATGAACTAAAGCAAAAAAATAACACTGATAGATGTAGAAAATTCAATTTCAATTCATTGCATTAGGAAAAAAAGACAGAAACACACGAGGCCTGAACGTCGTGTACTCGACCCTTGATCACGTTATAAATGAACACTACTGAAGAGTCGCAAGGGATGAATCGGCTATTTAGAGCTTTTGAACTTTTATGATTCTCTAGCTAAAATCAGTTTGTATTATAGAATTTAAAAAAAATATATAAAAAGGTAAGAACAAATGTTACACACGTGTACAGACACCTGCCTCAATATTTGATAAACATGCTCAAAAAGACATTATCATTCTAATAAGTTATTTAAGAGCTAATGAAACAAACAAACGAATCAACTCAGGATCAAAACCATAAATTTTATTAAGAATTACGTGAAGAGAATTCAATCCGTAGACGTTTTACAATTCAATTACACAGTGTATATATTCAAGAAATAACATTTAGAATACCACAAAACGATACTACTATGAAACATTTTTACCAGTGGAAAAGTGATGCCTAATTGATTTAAATAATAATAATAATAATATTACAATAATAAAGTGAGAATACATACAGAAAGATACAAAATCGAATTCCTGACATTGCTTAAACTACTGTAAATCACTACTGAATAGAATAAATACATAACATAAAGCGATGAAACGTCGAGAATTCAATTTCCTAACTTTATTAAGGGATATTACAAAATATATTGTTACTGTGTTATTATCATGAATGATCTACCCGGAGCTCAGTTTATTTAAAATAATCAATTCGAAACTTAGTAATGATACTTTAAGAACACACACACACATAGAGAGAGAGAGAGAAAGAGGAAAAAAGGATTACAAGATTGTTTAAATAGTGAATAATCCTACTTGAACCATTTTTCTTTAAAAAATGAAAAGTTTCTTTCTATTCATTAAACTAGTGTGTATAATGATGATTGAAAGCCAAAATATACGATTTCATATTTGAACTCATAAAGAGAAAAAGCCAACCAAAAACAGAGCGAAAAAGATTGACAGAGAGAGAGAGAGAAAGTACTATTGGTCACTTTTGGATTGATATAATAAGTCCTGATCTATCAGGAGAAGAGAAGATGGTCATCATTTTGAATTTGGATGAGAAAGAGAAAAACGGAAGGATTGATGATAATGGATAATTTAATTTAATTATAAAATGTAGCAATGTAGCTTATACACCTTGGTAAATTTAAACAAAGTGATTTTGTTTATTTTTTTAAATAATTTAATATTATTATCTAAAATGAAAAGTAGATTTTTGCATGATAACAGTAATAATAATTATGATAATAGAATAAACAACAAAAATAAACAATTCAGATTAGTTAAATGGATAAAGTGATGGTGTTTAAAAATGAACGATACTGAGTTCGAGTCCCGGAGTGAATATACACTCTAGACTGCAGGGACATTCAATTGACATGTGACAAAAAGGACGAAACACCAGCCTTGGTTTTTACCACTGGCTACCATCCATTTCTACTTATAATACTTGTGACTTAATGGTATAAATCAGAGCGATCCATATAAAATAAGCATATACGAAAGAGAAGCATTAATTAATCTTAAACGTCAGTGGAAAGATTCAAAAAATCAATAAAAATGGATTAAACATTTCAATTAAACATTTCATTTGGATAAACCAAAAACAATAAATTAAATCTTTATCATGAGTTAAATAAGTTTGTGTGTGTGTGTGTGAATGTTTATGCTTCTCTCTATTCTGTAATTGAACTACTTTATTTCCCTAACAGCACTGACAAAATAGCAATCAAGATGCATTCATGATGATAATAATTAATCAGTTTTAAATATTTAATTGAATTTTTAACAATTTCAGTTATAATTAATTATACTGAAATTGTTAAAAATTCAATTAAATATTTAAAACTGATTAATTATTATCATAATGAATGCATCATTTTACTCTTGATTGCTATTTTGTCAGTGCTATAAGGGAAAATAAAGTAGTTCAGTTACAGATTAGAGAGAAGCATATACATTCACACACACACACACACACAAACTTATTTAACTCATGATAAAGATTTAATTTATTGTTTGTGGTTTATCCAAATGAAATGTTTAATTGAAATGTTTAATCCATTCGTATTGATTTTTTGAATCTTTCCACTGACGTTTAAGATTAATTAATGCTTCTCTTTCGTATATGCTTCTTTTATGTGGATCGCTCTGATTTATACCATTAAGTCACAAGTATTATAAGCAGAAATGGATGGTAGCCAGTGGTAAAAACCAAGGCTGGTGTTTCGTCCTTTTTGGCACATGTCAATTGATTGTCCCTGCAGTCTAGAGTGTATATTCACTCCGGGACTCGAACTCAGTACCGTTCATTCTTAAACGCAATCAGTTTATCCATTTAACTAACTTGAAATGTTTATTCTGTTATCATAATTATAATTACTGTTATCATGCAAAAATCTACTTTTCATTTTAGATAATAATATTAAATTGTTTTAAAAAAAAACACTAAATCACTTGTTTAAATTTACCAAGGTGTATAAAATACATTGCTACATTTATAATTAAATCAAATTATCCATTATCATCAATCCTTCCGTTTTTCTCTTTCTCATCCAAATTCAAAATGATGACCATCTTCTCTTCTCCTGATAAATTATCACTTATTATATCAATCTAAAGTGACCAATAGTACTTTCTCTCTCTCTCTCTGTCAATCTTTTTCGCTCTGTTTTTGGTTGGCTTTTTCTCTTTGTCTTACAGAAAACAAACTTTATGAGTTCAAATATGAAATCGTATATTTTGGCTTTCAATCATCATTATACATACTAGTTTAATGAATAGAAAGAAACTTTTCATTTTTTAAAGAAAAATGGTTCAAGTAGGATTATTCACTATTTAAACAATCTTGTAATCCTTTTTTCCTCTTTCTCTCTCTCTCCTATGTGTGTGTGTGTGTTATTAAAGTACCATTACTAAGTTTCGAATTGATTATTTTAAATAAACTGAGCTCCGGGTAGATCATTCATGATAATAACACAGTAACAATATATTTTGTAATATCCCTTAATAAAGTTAGGAAATTGAATTCTCGACGTTTCATCGCTTTATGTAATTTATTTATTCTATTCAGTAGTGATTTACAGTAGTTTAGGCAATGTCAGGAATTCGATTTTATATCCTCCTGTATGTATTCTCACTTTATTATTACAATATTATTATTATTATTATTTAAATCAATTAGGCATCACTTTTCCACTGGTAAAAATATCCCATAGTAGTATCGTTTTGTGGTATTCTAGATGTTATTTCTTGAATATATACACTGTGTAATTGAATTGTAAAACGTCTACGGATTGAATTCTCTTCACGTAATTCTCAATAAAATTTATGGTTTTGATCCTGAGTTGATTCGTTTGTTTGTTTCATTAGCTCTTAAGTGACTTATTAGAATGATAATGTCTTTTTGAGCATGTTTATCAAATATTGAGGCAGGTGTCTGTCTGTACACGTGTGTAACACTTGTTCTTACCTTTATATATATATTTTTTTAATTCTATAATACAAACTGATTTTAGCTAGAGAATCATACAAATTCTACAGCTCTAAATAGCCGATTCATCCCATGCGACTCTTCAGTAGTGTTCATTTATAACGTGATCAAGTGTCGAGTACACGACGTTCAAGCCTCGTGTGTTTCTGTCTTTTTTTCCTAATGCAATGAATTAAAATTGAATTTTCTAAATCTATCAGTGTTATTCTTTTACTATGGTTCATAAAAATAAAATAATGTTTATTACCAATCGTCATGTCCACACGAGGTAATTTGATTTCTGATGTAGACATCTGAAAGTTTCAGTAGGAAGCTTCGTCACACCGTTATCTTGTATCAGGTGGATGTAATTCAGTACCAGCGGATGATTTTCCGCTCAATACCATGAATAGACTGAATTTGAAAATATCATACAATTACATTTCATCTCGCACCGGAAGAATTAAAGGTTTTTGGTTCAACTTTATGTAGCGTCATGAGTGCGTTCACAGTCTTGGAGAGGATCTTCAACATAATGTAATACCATTGTCCAGTGCTTCGTAGTCTCTCAAGCTACTTTTCCCAGTACCGAAATCAACCATTAACGAAATACTAATTCTAAAAATCCAATCGATAATTGCTGCAGTCCGGTAATCATTAACCCTCAAACTTTCACCTTTTTGTTATAATTAGATTAAAGGATATTTGTATTTAGCATCTTGATCCATAATCAGGTTATGTTGACAGATTTTTTTATTCCAATATTTAACCATATTCCATCACTACATGTTGTTTTTACCTTCTGTGATGTTACATAATTCCTCATCTTGGCTTGATATTCAAGCATGTCTCTCCATTATTGCCTCCCGTTTTAGGTTTAAGTATTTCAGTATCATCAGAACACGTAAACATAGGATTAACTTGATCAGGAAATGGAATGTTTTGAATTGATTGTTTACTTATTTTTTATTGTAAACAGTATCATTTTTCCTCATTACTATTATTATTATTATTATTATTATTATTATTATTATTATTATTATCATTATGATTATTGCTATTTGTTAATGCTTCTCTCTCTCTGATTTTTGTTTATTCTCTTATCAGGGTACCTATGCAACTGTATACAAAGGTAAAAGTCTTCTAACAGAAACACTAGTTGCTTTAAAAGAAATACGTTTGGAACATGATGAAGGTGCACCATGTACAGCTATACGTGAAGTTAGCCTATTGCGTAATCTACGCCATGCAAATATAGTCACTTTACATGATATCATTCATACTGAGAAGTCGTTAACATTAGTCTTTGAATATGTGGTAAGTTTGAAATCAATTGTTATTATTGTTGATGTTGTTAGTGTTTTTTTTTAGTGAAGTTTTATTTTACACAATTGGGTTGTTAATCTAATGTCTAGCCCTCCTCTATCTAGGATTGGAAGTAACGCTCTAGGGACTTCAGGCAAAGTTGTTGTTCTTATTTTTTCAACGGCATAACGGTGTCGATAACAGTTCGTTGATTCCACACCTCTCACTAAAACATGGCATGTATGTATATACATATTTTTTGACAGAAATTTGATCAGCCTATATTGGCATATGTGTGTCCGGTGGGGATTGTTTCTACAGAGCCATTATTATGCATTATATCTAGAGTGTGTAGAATGTAGTTAGCAGTGGCGTCCAGGACGTGTGTCTCGTCCTACTGGATACCCATCAACCAGAAGTATCCCCAAAGTAAACACTAACTCTGTGTAATACAGGCATATCCAGCTGACGAGTCCCGAGTAGTGTGATACGAGCATCCTGGATCCCATTGTTGGTCATATTCTATCTATTCTATCATAAAAATGGGTGACATTTGTTATAAATTGAGTATCAAATGAACATTTATCAGCTATTTAAACCCTTAGTATAGCACTGCCCAGGCGGGCATACGAATGACTTCATACCATGACTAAATGACTGTCCAATTATCTATATTTAGTTGGTTTGTGACTTTCCTTTACATGATTTATTGCTCATTTTTAGTCAAATAATACTGTCTTATTGAAATATTTACTATCCATCAAAATAACTATTTTTCATTCCTAACATAAACCCAATCACTTGACCAGTATTTCTACCTGCTGACAATTATTTTGGTAGGATGCTTTGTTCCAAAGGATTAGTTCCATGAGTAAATTAAACATCAGTCATCATCATATGTTGTTCTATTAAACGCATCAAATAATTGTTACCATCTAGACAGCACAACTCATATCATTAGTGAATATTTTTCGACTTATCTCTTCAACCTGTTTATTTATGGCTTCTCACTGTAACTATAATCATTTATATTGAAATTGTATCGATGATAAATGGTAAATTACTTTTGTAAAATGTGTGTTGATGCCAACTTCTTCAGTTCGAGGTTCTATGTCATCGTGGTTTGATAAGAGTACCAAAGTAACTAATTATCCTTCTTTTTCTATTCATTAGCAAATATAAAAGTTGAAATCACCCAATGACATATACCTTTAGTGTTTCAAACAGTAAGATCTTCATTTTCTAAACGTTTATGTCTGTGGCGCTGGCTAATAAGCAACAACTTGATTTTTCGTTACCGGGTTGTGAAGATTGTTAAGTTACACATTTTTGAAACCATGAATCGATCAGTGTTAGACCACCATTAGAAACCTGGAAGTACTGAAAATGTGTAACTTAACAATCTTCACAACCCCGTAATGCAAATTACCTGTGCTCACTAGTGACTAGCTTCGTGAGGAATCTTCTCCGAGTTCTAGCAGGGAGACGTGACCAGTGAAGTTCAACCTGTTCGGGTGTAGACAGTAACTACTACCGAAGACTGTGTATGAGGTTGCGCAACTCCGTGAATTGATCAAGTTAGACATTAACACCGTTAGATACCGGCTCAGTGTTCCGATGGTTAGGCGTTCGCCTACAATACCGAAGGTCCTGGGTTCGAATCCTGCGGGGTGCAGGAGTCGTGGATGCGCACTGCTGAGGAGTCCCATACCAGAACGAAACGGCTGTCCAGTGCTTCCAGGTTTCTGATGGTAGTCTAACATTGATCGATTCATGATTGCAAAAATGTGTAACTTGTTTTTTGTGAATAATCTTCAAACTACTTTTGTTAGCTAGTAGTATATATCGTTAGGCTGCTTTTATAATTATGTGCAGTTAAAATGCATTAGGTTTGTTTTCATTTTTCCTCAAGTAAACAATTTGTAACATATTTATATTATTGAATGATTTTCGAATATCTGATTCGAATTATTTCTAATACGATTTGTACTTTCTCTTTGTTTGATGATCTGTATTAATTTAGATTAGCTATTTGAATAGTTCAATGGTAGTTGTCCTTTAGAGTTACAAATAGTCTACACTTTTGAACGTTGAAGGTCCGGAATACCGATATTGTTTAAACATATAAACTTTTACAGCTATTCATGCCAGTTTTAATTCAGTAGAGTAGGTTAGTTTAATGAGAAACTCCCTAACATTTTAACCGATAGATACTAGAGAATATCAACATATATGACAATACTGTACATATTTTCTAGACGTCTACATTCTTTAGACATGATTATTTACGTAAATAATATTCCGACGTATAAATGGTATGATTTATTGTAAACATTGATTCAACATTATAACTAAGACTGTGTAAACAAAACAAAACAAACCTTAAATCTATTTTCTATTGTTGTTATTATTCTTCTCTTTCGTCTTGTCTCATGATTAATTTTATTGTGACTAAACAGTAAAACAAACAATTTTCATTCGTTCTCCTCCTTAATGTTTATCTCGACAACTTTTTTTTTCTCGACTTTTTCGTAAGTGGTAAGCCACACCCTAATATTTCGAATCTAAATAATTTGTTTATATTTTCAATTTGAATTGTCATTCTGCGGCACATGATGAACATGTTGGTATGGACGTTGTATATATATATAGATTATATACTATATATATATATATATAATATATATGCTTGTCCAGTGAATAGGCTACTCAGAGCTATAAACATTGAACATTATCGAATTTAAAATACCTAAATTCCACTATTCAAATCATTCATGGGAAAACTCGATAAGCCAAGTTGTTCATCTTCATCGGTATATCACAAATTTTTCTCTAAACCCCAGATAGTGTGCTGAAATTGTGTACGCAGGGGATTTTATTCGATTCAGTTGAGCAATTTGTTTAGGGGGTTAAAAACGCAAGAAAACTCCACATATTCACTGGTTCTACCAGCTCAAGAATTTGAGGATCATCCTGAACTTTTTTGGAAACCCTTGAGGATTTTTTCGAAAAGGTCTTAGAAACTGAAAAAGGGCTGGAAACACTTCGTCTAGTCAACACTCATCCGAAGCTTCCGAAAATCTCGAGGATAAACAATGGACTACGCGCCTACTGTGATAGGATAATTAACAACTTCGTTGCTGAATATAGCATGTTTCCAGAAACTTCCGAAATATCAAGGCCACTTGTTAATGGAACATAGATTGGATTAAAGGCATGATTGCGTTGTTGCGCCTTAATTGGCTCTTTCGTATCCAATCAAGCGCTAACGCCGACACTAAGGGAACATTCCTAGAATCTTCTGTTCATGTAAGAAAACTATGAATACACTAACGTCTTTTTTCCTTTGGAACATTCTGACTCCCCTAACCTTGGTTATTGTGAATATATCTACTTTCCTTTTCAACCGTGTTTCTGATTTCGGTGAGGTAGCATTCTCGAGATGAATCGTGGTCCGAGAATACTAAACGTCATGGTAAGTCGCCTGGGTGGAATAGAGAATTATAACACCACTTAGATATTGTACCCATTTGTAACTTGCCAAAGCATCAGCATCTTTTTGAAAAGTAATCTTGCCGACGTACTGGTACACCTGCAATCTATCTAGCAAAAAGCTAAGCGTTGTTGATGAAAAAACATCCAAACTCCATGTTGAGGAACCAACGATGAAGGAAGTCCTGTATATCATAGAGCATCCGAATCATGGGCCTTGATTGGATAGGTAAGCTGAAGTTTTCAAACCTTCCCCTGTAAATCTGATCTGCTGCGAGTTCTGAATCGTCTAGAATATTCTTTTAATTGATAAAAACGTTCCCTAGTTCTGTTCTTTATAATGTTCAATATGGGAATAAGCACAATGGCAGTTCACACAATATGATATTTAGGTGTCGATTCCTTCTTTTCACTGACCATAATTCATTGCTGGTAGTGCTTAGGCCAAAGAAATGAGTCCCTGTGCACACCGCTAATCGATTACAACAATGAGCAACCATACTTGATACACGAATTCAAGACACGAGGACGTCTGTCTTATCCCATCCAGACCAGAAGAAAATATTCTGATAGCACCAATAAAAACTGATACATGTGTTCATCGACTATCGGATGATGCAGTTTGTGAAATGTCAGTTGCCTTTACAACCATGATCGAAGCCACAGAAAAGAACCAAACCTTACGGGTTATCTTTTCACCTAATAGCCTAAGTGCCGCTTTCGACGAAAATTTCCACAGAGTTTTTGTTGTCAAGACTTTTCTGTTGTATTCGATTTTTGTGTTATGTTCGGAGATTGAATTATTATATGGTAAACGCTTGGTCGATAAGTTCTCAAGTAACTTCATATTGGTCACTGAGGCATCAATAAAGCGAAGTCAGTGTTTCAAAACTACTCTTAATGGCCTTTAATAGATCAAAATATCAAAGAAAAAAAAATCCCACAATAGCTTTTGTCTTCAAGTTGCTAGAAATCCTGCGAAATGTGAACCAAAGCTGAAGTTCCAAATCTGCAACAATCCTTGAGAAAAAGACCTCACGACCAGATATTCTTTCTCTCTCTTCTACTTACAATCTCTTGC